ACTGCCCAAGAGAATGAGGGTGCTCCCTAAAACTTTCAGGAAACTGGAGGGAAGACTTGACTGTCCACAGAATATGACATTGGGTCCACGGTATTTAATTAAGAAGCAGAAGAAAAGATGACCCCATAGTGCCAAAGGAGCTTCCAAGTAGAACAGGAGGGATGCCTGCATTGTGCTTCTCTCTGAAGATGGACAGTTAGAACTGTGGAGAAATGTCTCCTAATAAGGATGAAGCTCGGGCAATAGTGAGAAAGTCATCACTGAGATGATACTTTCCTCCCTTCTGGGTGAACTGTAAGAATATACTGACGATATTCTGTATATAAGCGGGTATAGCAGACTGTCTATATTTCCAAGGTGAATTGGCTTTTAGGTGAGCCCCAAAGGTTTCTGCCTACCATCAATAATTATAATAAGGTTGATTTCTAAGTCTGAGGACCCTAAGGAATGGAGTTCTGATTCCACTTTCCCAGGGCCACCTCTTATGCCTCTTGATGGTCAAAAACCCTGGGAAAGGGAGAAAAAAAAAGAAAGAAAAGAAAATACAAATTTTTCAGAAAGTAAAAATTTATCTCTACTAATACCAGAATGTAAGCAGACCCCCTTTGAAAAAAATAATTTAACATATGGCTGGCATACTTTTTAGATAAGGCCCAGGGAATGTCTGTGACTTAACCCTAAGAAAATCTTATAGTCTGGCTCAGAGGAGTCGGGCTTTTCTCTACAGTTCCCATCTTCCAATGATCTGTTGGTTCAAATGAGCCACACTCATAATGATGGTCCCCAGTAGAGCTCATTTCCTATTAAGCTGTGGTAAGTCAAAACCTACTTCAAAGAAGACAAGGTCACCACCCTGGGGGTGCTAATGAAAAACATGGGTTTTGTGTGTTTTTGGCTGCTTGAAAAGTAAGAAAACCTCAACCTCCTGAACCAGAAGTAATCCTCTTCTTCTTCTTCTTTTTTTTTTTTTTTTTTGGTAAGTGTTCTATGTTGGGTTTAGCATTTCAAAAGTTAACAATGGCAGATCCCATTTTTAATGAGCTCATCAAAGAGTTTTGATTCTTTGGCATTCTTTATGTACTGAGGTAAAGAAAACTAACTCAAGGTTCCTGAGGGAACTGTTAACATCTCTTTCCTGGAACAAGTAAATAGTGCATAGTAAGTTATAGCTCTATCTTCAGAAAATCCCAAAGGCATCCTAGTAGAGCTCAGATTTAGAGGGATAAAAGTGTCAGTAATACCACTACTCATTGATTGCATTATGTCATCTTAGGATGGCCCAGTGCCATTCCTACTCTCCCTTTGCCCTGGTGCCATTATCTAGAAGGGTCCATTGACCGAAAAAAAAAAAGCCCAGAAAATCTCCTTTTACGCTTAGTGTACTTGATGGCTGGATCCAAGAGAGGAGAAAAAGGATGAGGAGGATTTCATTGGGAGGGCTTCCAAAAGAAAGGTGAATACTTCCCTGACTTTCTCGATGAGGTACCTGGCCAGGAAATAGATGATTCAACAGAATAATTTTAAGGAGAGCAGGTGACATACTCCAGCCTGAACCTTTGATTTCTTTCATTAATTTATTCAACAAATATTTATTGTCTTCTAAGTGGCAAGTGCAACTCTAGTTACCCAGCAGTTTCCCTCAACAGTATCCTGAATAACTTGGTAATGCCAGACATCAAATAGATTTTTCTTATTTTCCAGTGATAAGAATCAGGATGTACTATTTTTTTGCATCTGTAGCTTGAAATTCCTATTAGATAATCTACTCAAAGCTGGATAAACAGTCACATACATTCATGAGGCAACACTACAACTAGTAGTGAATATATTCACTACACTGAGAAATATACACACTGAGAAACATTTGTTTTAATAATAAGGTTACTCAGTCAACAGATATTTATTGAACTCTTAATAGATGCCAAGCACTGGGTTTGGTAATGAGGTTTCAGTGGTAAACAAACCAGAAAAGTTCTTGTTTGGTGAACTTTTATTGTAGTGAAAAAAACAGATACTGTTTTAAGTGGTCAAATAAATAATATAATTGCAAGTTATGCTAAAGAGAAATAAAATAATGAAAAAAAGAAGAGACTCTAAGAATGATCTGAGGAGGTGACATTTAAATTAAGGCCTGAAAGATAAGAAGCCAGACATGTGAGGAACCTAAAGAAGACCATTCCTGGCTAAAGAAATGGAACCCATGTGTATGGAGACAGCCTTCTATGTTTGTCTCTACCAGGAAAATGAGAAATGCAGCCATCACTGGAGAAGAGGAATGGTAAAGAAAGATTTGGGATTTTTTTTTTTTTTTTTTTTGGTTTGGGCTGGGTTGTCTTTTTTTTTTTTAATATACTTGAACATATCATGCTGATGGAAATCATTTCATAGACAGCAATGGTTTGAGGATCCAGAAGAGAGAAGAGAAATTTTAAAGAGGCAAAGTAGGGGAATAGAAATGGATCTAGTGCACAAATGAAAAGATGGTCCTTTTCCTCCACTATAAGGAAAAAAGAAGATATAGGTGATCATGCAGATGTAGGCGGATCATGCAAATGTAGGTGGATTTGTGTTCTGGTGGTGTAAGTGTGGTTCCATGGTGGGAGGAGGGGATATGTTGGGCTTGTAAAAAGCTATGATGTAATTGTCTCAAATAGTGGAAAAACATGGTTGGCAGGGAACTGAAAAAAAAGTGGTAGGCAGTATTGAATGCCTATTTGAGATCTGTGATCACTAATGTAAGGCAGTGTTTCTCAAGTAGGGCTGACTTTTGTCTTCCCATCCCCCAGTCTGGAGAAATTTAGCAGTATCTAGAGATATTCTTGGTTTTCCCACATGCAGGAGGGGACAATGATACTAGTATCTAGTGGATAGAAGGCAGAGATACTGCTAAACATACGACAGTGCACAGGATAGCTCCCACGACAAAGAATTATCTAGTTCAGAATGTTAATAGAAGGAAGAATGGAAACTCAGATGTAAATGGATGTCATACATATAGAACATCTCTGGAAAGCCACATAAGGAGACAATGATACTCTCTGTGGGCAGAAATTGGGCCATGGGACAGAGTAAAAAGAGGACTTACTTTCATCCCATATATTTATATGCTTTTTAAAATTTGTACTATGTACATGTATTAGTTATTCAAATCAATCAAAAGATAGAAATAATTCAGTGATAAAGAGTAACTGATTTATGTAGATGATAGACAAAAATAAACCGAAACTAGTCTGTCTTTTTGGGTAATTTTCTCTAGCAACATCCAGCTTTTAGGATGCCAGCTTAAAGAGAATGGGATTTTTGCAAGGGGAATGTACTGAAGAAAGAATATTCTAGAATTGAGAAATTTCCCAAGATACTGATTGTAATGACAGAGGGCAGAATCTAAGAGAGAGTTGTGAAGATAAAGAAGGAGTTGATGGATATGTAAGGAAAGGATAGTTTATTAGAGGTCTCAATGTGGTAAAAATATACACATTTTAGGAGAGAAAATGTTGGAGCAATTGAGCTGGAATAATAGGAGATAATGTGAAAATAAGATGTATGAAATTAAATTGTAAAGCAAATACCATAATTTTTAAAAAGGCAAAGTCTAGGGGGAGGCCATGGTAGTGAGTGGTTGAAAAAAAATAGGAAAAGGTCATTGTCAATAAAGGACAGGAGAATGTAAGAAACCAGGTGTTTGGGTGGATCCCTCAGGTCTGTGGCTTCTTCTGGAGCATATAGTGCCTCTCCTAGAGTGGTTTATTAAAATGATAGCTGCCATTTTTTAGATAGATGCCATGTACCAGATATTTTATGTACATATCAGGCATTTTTGTGCAAGAGAGGTTAAGTGACTCGCCCAGTGATTGCATTTGGAAAGCAGAAGAACAAAGATCCAAGTTAAGGTTTTGTCAGTCCAAAGTCTGTGCCCTTTCCACTATGCAATGGCTCTGTTCCCAGGAAAATATGGGGTAAATTGTCACTAAATCTGTTCAAAGTTGGGTGAGCTTAACATTGGCAAATTTATAGGTAATGAAAACTCTGGATAATGGAAAAAGACTGGGGAGAGGGGTATCTGGCAACGATAGATTTGCTTCATAGTTCTAACACCAGTGAGTTCTTAACATGGCCTTAAGTCAAAATGAGTAATGAAGCCATGGAGGAAAGAATTAATAAAGAAAAGAAGTCCAAATTTTAGTGATTTCCAAAAGGTACATTCATAATATTGATCTGTATTCTAAAATATAATTTTTATTACATGTATTTTTATTAAAATACACAAAATGCATATAAATACTGATTATAGGAAAACAGCATCAAAACCTGACAATCAAAGAGTCTTGAGGACTATTTTGAGGACAGCTGAGTTGGTTGCCAAGAAGTATTCAAAAATCTACCACTAAATGCAACCCATGATTTCCTAACATATCCTTCACAATCTCCACATTATCTCTTCTTACATAACTCTTCTAGTCAAATGCATGTGATTCACACACACACACACACACACACACACACACACACACACCCCAAAATTGCACTGGAAATATACATGCTGTGTGGGGAATGGGATAACTTCACAAAAGATTCCCTTTGCTTCTGTGTTAGCATCACCTGGTGGCTCAGGCTATGCGTTTAGAAGTAAAGGTGCTGCCAATGGGACACTGGCCTTCTGGTTTCTTTAGCTTATCACACAAGCCTACTCCTCTTTTTCCATCCCTTATACACTCATGTCACATCCATATATCAAAAATCCTCCCCTGAGGTAGATAGTAGACCCACCCCAAGAGGTGAGTTAACAGGTGTCCTTTTCAATGTGTCAAAATGCTTTTGGACACTTAAAATGAGTGTAGAACGTGCTAGTAGCTACTTCTTCCTGCCTCTGTATTTTCATATGGTAGCCCAGAGTCTCATGTTCTTCAGTCATGTTCCTCTTCCTGTCTGGTTCATGGACCTTAGGTGAGCCGAGGAACTGTAAACCTGCTGAACCCTGTGGTCTTAAGATACTCCTGGGTCATGTCTTCTCACTTGACCTCAAGTGGGCTTAAGAAGACTCTCATTCAAGACCACGTTCTCAGTGCTTGTAACAAGGAACCATATGGAGAGAATCCCAAAGTGCTTTTCTTAGAGCTTATATAAGCCAAAAAATGTCTTAGATTCTTCAAAACTGACCAGAGATAGTTCGGATACATTGACATACAAATGGTCAGCACTGGTGAGATTGAATACTGCCCCCAAGTAGCTGCTACGAGCCCACATCTGGCCCGTAGTGCAGTAGTTCATGATCTTCCCCTCCATCAGCATCAGGTCCTGGGGATATTTAGAGTTCCTCATATAGACCTTGTGGTTCAGGGGCTTGTTGTTGCAGGACTGACCCCTGAAGTACACTTTGGAATACACAAAGTACAACCCAGTATCATTGATCACAAGGCCACCCTTCTTGTACTTCACCCCAGAGACAAGGGCAATTCCATATGTGTCTTCCCATTCCAGAGGGATGGATCTTGAGTTGGGCTTGCCTGAAATCAAATCAGAGAGGAGCTTTCAGCCAGGAATGCTCATGCACCCAACAAATGAAGCTTCCAAAGCAAAACTGTGGGCCTTTCCATTAGCAAATAACCAAAGTGACATAACCCACATAGAACTGGCCAACAGGTCAGACTCAATCCATCACTGAATTCCTGCAACACCTCTATCAAATTGTTTGCCTTGATTTTATCATCTACACAACTGGGATAATAATATAGATGCTAATCAATTACAGTGAGACATTACTGAGATTATTTTAACTCTCTGGAACAAAGAGTCTATGATCTTCAGAACTAATAACAAAACTTCTAGGTTTCAAGGTCCTTCCATGAGGAAAAAAGCCAAACCTAAGGAACTCTGAAATTCTAAAGTTGGGAAGAATCCTTAGGGATCATCTGGTCCAGCTCCTCATTTATACTAAGGAGACTTCAGTTCCCCCACTTTGGGCTAAAATCCCCTTTCTTTTATGTCCCTACAGCAATATATTCATACCTTAAGCAGAGAACACACTCCAGTACTGAAATTATCGCTTATGTACCTGTATTTCCCTATTAGATTTTAAGTTTCTTGAAAGCAGGGACCATGTCTGATTAATCTACATGTCCCCAAGGCGTGGCACACAACACGTGTTCAATAAATATCTGGTGATCCAAACTGGATCATTCTACAGCCTTTACTTTAATAATTCTAGAGACAGTGACATACCCCTTCCTGTGACATACCCCTTCCTGTGACCTTTCAAATACTGTACCCTGGGAATGCGCACACCACATTGCTATCAAATCACTTCACTCCGCTACGTGACCACATGCAGGAAGTCCACCAATGCCGGGACAGGGCCCTTTTTCTCACTCCTATTTCTACTCTTGCACAAAGCAGAGTGAAGCTCTTCCAGAACACCAGAAAAGCCCTGACTAAAATAATTCATCACTCTCTCTCTTCCCAGATCTCACCTCATGAACCCATGCCCCAAATCCTGTAAGCATCTTTGGAGTGATTGAAAAGAGCAAGCTCCTCATGGGCAGGAATCATGTTATAATTAGCTCCATTTTGCCAATTTCAAACATGGCCTAGACTAGTAGGGGCTCAATATGAGTATGAGGCTGACTTGACTAGAAAGATGGGACCATTTTTCGCTGTCAAATGCTGTCTCTGGAAAGTAACAACTCCCTCAGAGCACAGTACCCAACCAGCTATTCTTTCTGTCGAAGGCTTTCCCAAGCCCCATGTACCTTCCAGATACAGACCTGTTAAATGGGCCACTTTCCTCAGCTCCCTTTTTTCAGAAGGTGGATTGGGTTGACCTGTATCATAGAGAGATGAAAGATAAATGTAAAAATGAGATGCCAACTATTCTTTTGTTGGGACTCCGAACAGGTCATTTAAATAAAAGTGATTTTTTTAAAAACATAAATGACAATAGTCTAACATATACTAATCATTCAAGTCCAAACTATAGAACTCACAGAAACCTGTATTTCAGAAACGAAGAGGTAAAAAACAAACCAAATAGAGATAGACATATGCAAAAACTGTGTTACAATAAACCAATAAGAAGTTTGATTTATATAGAGCTATCATATCAGTTACTGTATTTAAACTTGCCACAATCCTTTGAAGTGGAGATGTTCGTCCCACCTTATAAACAGCTAAATGAGCTTAGAAGTTGAGTGATTTTTCCAAGAAGACCCAGCAACCAAATGTCAGTGTAGGACAGACTCTCAGGTCTTCTGGCTCTAAATTAGGGTTTTTTTCTCTACTCCAGTTCTGCTGCCTTTAGGACTCGGCAGAGCAGAGGCCAAAGAAGACTATGATTTCAGCTCCTGGCCACTAGCTCTTTGCCTCCGTGGTATTCGACGGTCTGCCCAAATTAACCATCCTCAGATATCAAATGCCTTGAATAGCCCTTCGCTGAGCCTATAATTTTGTAACAGTTTCCCTAGACATCATCTCTGCCTATTTGTCCAGCTTTATCTCCTGAGCTTGCTCACATTGACCAAGGCTGCACAACACGAGTTCTTTTTTTTCTTTCTTTTCTTTTCTTTTTTGTAAAGGTTTTATTTATTTACTTGAGAGAGACAGAGATAGCAACAGAGCATGAGTGGGGAGGAGAGAGAGAAACAGACTCCCCACTGAGACATGGGGCCTAATCCCAGGATCCTGGGACCATGATCTGAGCCAAAGGCAGACACTTAACTTACTGAGCCACCCAGGCGCCCCCACAACATGAGTTCTGATGTAACCTGAACACACCCAGCTTCCAGCCCCTGTGCCTTTGCTCAGCCTGTTCATCTGCCCAGAATGCCCTGCACACAGATGTTTGTGGCAAATTCCTATCAACCCTATAAATAAAACCTGCAATACCTCTTTCTTGGGGAAACCCTCACAGGCCTTTTTAATCGAATATGATTTTTCTCTCCTTTGAAACCTAGAATCACTTTGTCTTCACCTCTCTTCTTGATTCTGACTCCCCATTTCTGTGGTAACTGTATAATTTGTCTTATCCCCCCACCCCCAAATAAATGGCAGGTTTCCTACTATATGTTTAATCCACCAGAGTACTCCAGCCTCAGTGTCTAACACAGGGCATGTGACCAGTAAATGTTTACTAAGTTAAAATGGAGGAGTTAAAAATAAACAATAGTTCACCAAGTAACAATAGTTTAGCTAAGACATTCGAGAAAGATTCATAGAAAGGCCTTCATCCACATCAAGCTCCTTGCGATTAGCCTGTAAAACTCACCCATGGCGGGAGAACGCCCTAATGGGCTGAGAACATAACCTGAGCAATCATGACCTCTCTAGCCCCACAAGACCACCCACCATGAATGAGGTGTTAGTGAACAGGAAAGGCAAAACTGAGTCTCCTCTACATTCCTATACCACAAACCATCTGTGCAACTAGTTTGGCATTCAGCCATGTACTGACAGGAAATGGAACAGAGAACCACAGCTTGCGTATCTTTATATCCCTCGCAGAGCCTTGCACGGTGTTATTCTCATAGAGGGTTATTCAGTAGAAATACCTGCTAGGCAAGAGCAGAAACTGGAACTAGATCCTACACTTCGGTGGTGAACGTTTCCTGCCCCCAGGGTCTTTGCACATGACATTCTCACTGCTGGAATGTTTTTTCCCTACCCTCCTACCCCACCCCACCCCCACACAGGCAGGCACACACATGACATCTCTTTAGAGGGGACTTTCCAGACCACTCTATTTTACGTTGCACTTAGTACAATTTGAAATTGTTGTCTGCTTGCTTGCTTTTGTTTACCCTTTCCTGCCTGCTAAAAGCTCTGTAACAGCAGGACCCTTGTCTCTCCTCCCTGGTTCTCAGTCATCACCAACACCCAGCATCCAGCCTGGCACATAAGAAGAACTCCAAGAATATTTGTGAATGAATAAAAGACTTAATGAGTTAACTGTGAAAAAAAAAGGAAAATGAAAAAGGAGCCAATAAGTATGTTTAAATAATCTATAATAGTATATCCCAAAGAAAATTGCTGTTAATATGTTGAAGTATAAATCCTTCTAGTTCTTTACTAAAAATATAAAATTATACACATGCACTTACATAGGGAATTTAAGTTAAGCATACTGTTTTATAACTTGCCTTTTTATCTCACGATATAGAATGCACAAACTTCATGGCCTTAAACGTTAACTACATGGATTGCAGCTGCTACATACAATGCCATCCAAATATACCATGACATATTTAATCTGGTAAGGGGTATTTCAGTTTCTTCTGACTTGTTTAATATAAATAGCCTTATAAGGAAATGATGAACATCCTTATCTATTAGTTTCGGGGTATATCTCTGATTATTTTATTAAGATAAATTCTTAGTGAGGAGATTGCATGGTACATTAACACTGAAACCTTTCGTGGGTACATTTTTCCAATTGCTCTTCAGAAAAGGTATAGCAATTTGCATGTTCCCTGGCTGTCAAGGAATATTGAAGCAGAATTTTTCCCTCATATTTTTGCCAATCTGCTTTATTTAGTCTGTGCTAATGGGATGAATGAAAATGGATAGCCCCTTGTTTTAATTTGCATCTCTTCTGTTAATAAAGTTGCTAATTTGATTTCTAGGGGGTAATGCACCCAGTCTCCGGTCCATCTGGGTTGATCTAAAGAAGGTACTTGCTTACTGGAATAGGTAGATTTGACTCATCTGTTTGTTCACTTGACTATCATCACTAAAATGATCCCAGAGAGTGGGTGAAAGATGAGTAATTAGGAACCTGTTTCACCAGCCACATTCCACTGATTTTCGAGGCCATTTCATTTTAGAAATCCTCCAAAAGTTTTATTTTTCTAACAAATATTTCTACTGTGCTTGAATATATCTGGACTCTCTCTCCCTAACATTGAGGGACTTGGACCTAGAACTAGAGACAGAGCATCCAAGGGATGACTCCTTCAGAGCTTACATTCTGGAGCAGTAGGGTGACTTGGGTCAGCTACAATAGGCAATAAGAGAAATTGGAACAGGCTTCCCTCATTGGATGGCCAGTGCTGCCTTTTATTTTCTTCCCAATTTCTAGGAACAAGATATATCTATTGTCTTTGTAGAGGTTTCTTGCTTTTCATCTTTATTTCTCATAAATTAGGCATATCCCCTAATCTGTCTGGAGTTCTGTTTCTCTTCTGAAAAGTGAGATTTGCTCCAAGCTCCCTTCCAACTCTTACCAAATCCAAAGTTCGGTGATCTTAGTTTAATGAACCAGAGCATCCTAAATCTACCTGTCCACAGTTTGCAAACTATGTCCTGAAACTTCACAAAAGGTTAGTGTCCAATTTTTCATCTTCTTTCTTGTCCTGAACCTCATACAAAGAACTTTCTTTTATTACTGAAGGTAGCTCATGATTGCCTTTGGGGGGGAAGCTGGACTAGCCTTTGAGAAATGGCCAATGTCTTCCCCCAAGACTGCCAGGGAGTGCAAAAGAATAACCTTAATGTGGATAATTAATTGCATACTTTTTAAAAGCCTAAATGGGACACCTGGGTGGCTCAGTCAGTTAAGCATCCGATTCTTGATTTTGGCTTCAAGTCATGATCTCAGGGTCATGAGATCAAGCCCTGAATTGGGCTCTGCACTGGGCGTGGAGCCTGCTTAAGATTCTCTCTCTCAGGTCACCTGGGTGACTCGTTGCTTAAGTGTTTACCTTTGGCTCAGGTCATGATCCCAGGGTACTGGGATCCAGCCCCAAATCGGGCTCCCTGCTCAAGGGGGGGCCTGCTTGTCCCTCTCCCTTTGCTCTCTCTCTCTTTCTCTCCTCCTTGTACTCTCTGAAATAAATAAAATCTTTAAAAAAAATCTCTCTCCCCCTCTCTCTTGACCCTTCTCTGCTAAGTAAATAAATAATTATATCCTAGAAAAAAATTTTTGAATAAAGTTTGACTCTTGAGTAATCTCTTAAAGAGTTTAAAGAGGAGACGACTTTTCCCAGAAACATCTGTCTCTGTCTCATCCTCCCCCATCTCCCTGGGAGTTACAGCCACTGCCTTTTCATGGAAGCCAGGAAGCCTGAGGAATGGGACAAGCCTGCTGCAACTGTATTGTCTCTTTCCAAAGTTGAAAGAAGTTATTTCAAATTGTATTCAGCACTCAGTTATACTCATTTTGAATGATTAAATTCGTTTCATATTTTAGAGTGGCCCAAGGAACCACAATGACCAGAGATTCAGAATTAGCCAAGATTCCTTTTGTAGTATACATGTGTCCAAGAATGGGATGGAGTTCGACACGTGCAACCAACATGGTTGAGCAATGAGGACTATCTTTAGAAACTCAATGTACACGCATAAAAGGACTCACCTATTTGCTTCTCCAAAGATGGTGCTACATGCCTTTCGCTGGTAGACTAGCAAAAGAGAGAGAAAAAAAGATGTATAATGATTATGAAGTTCTTTAATCTTAAAAATGCAAAATTGTCAAATAAAGTGAATAAACCTGAGAAGGGAATCTCAATACCTCAGAACCTTTCCTAAATCAGACCTTGGCCATGCAATTGTGTCTCACCATGCCTCAGTTTTAGGATTTGGAACAGTTATAATATTTTACAGTATTTGCAAGGAAAGTTACTTTGGTCATTTAAACAAATTCACTTCTAAGCAAGACTCCAAGTTCCTCTTTGTTTTTTCTTGAATCACTAACCTCTAGGTAAGAGTTCAGCAGGCTGCCTTGCCAACTGAGAAAGGAAGAACTGTAACTGCCAGTCCTATTTTAGCCCTGATCCTCTACAAGATAGCAAAAATCCCTTTCATTCACTTGAGCTTCTATTTTTCTGATGGTTGACTAGAACAACTAGAATGACCATTTCTAAGACAGGAAAAAAAGGACTAAAAAATGCTTGGCAAGTGAGACCACGGTCCCTCTGGACCTCAGCATCCCTCCAGCCTCCATTGCAGCAGAGCTGTCTACACCCGTGTCTCCAGGGTACAACGATCCACACACTAGCTTACCTCTCGGAGTTCAGCCAGCTCCTTCTGTAGATGGAAGAGCTGAAACATCCCCAGCCCCAATCCGACCAGGGCCACCAGAACCATGAAAAACATCACAAGGAGACACAGGCCTGTGTTGTGGTCCCTCCTCGTCTTCAGAGGTGGCAGTGGCAGTGGAGGCAGCGGTGGTGGTGGTGGTGGTGGTGGTGGTGGTGGTGGTGGTGGTAGTGTCGGCGGTGGTGGCGGTGGCCTCCTTTGCCCGGGCCTCCCTGGCACAGAGGATGGACACGGGAGGACTGACCCTGGAGAGGCCCAAGGAGAGTTGGCACTGCTGTCCACCCAGTAGATTTGGGGGTAGGGGTAATTCAAGGGCTGCTGCATGGCAGCCAGTCACTCGGACGAGCCCCCAGCAAAGGTGTCAAGGCTGGGACTGCTGTTTCTAACTGCTTGAGAGAAGAAAAGCCCGGCTAATCTCTTTATAGAGTTTCCATAGCCAAGGGAAACACTTCTCTTTCGTTCTCTCTTTCCTTCTCTCTTTCTGCTTCTCAAAGAGACACCCACTCACTTTGCATCTGAAGCTGAGAAGCCTCAAGACAAGACACCCAGAGCAAACCCCGGGAAGTTTCCGCCCACAATTTTCTGATGAAAGCCTGTAGGGCCCCAGTTGCCACTGCCTGCTACCTGAACCGCTGGTGGGATTGCCTTAACTTTTCTCAGGCCCTGCAAGAAAAGATGGCCTTTGTCCACTGGCCAGCTCTAGGGAGAGGGGCCAGCAGGGTGAGTCCAGACCCCAAGAGGTGAGACCATGGAGTCAGAGCCAGAAGAGTCGCTTCCACATCTTGTATTTTGCATGAGGGGATTGATCCCTGGCTGCTACCCTTTCCCCACACCCAAAACACTATTTACTCCAACACTGTAAAGCACTATCAAAACCTGCCCCATCCTTCCTCTAGAGATTCAATCAGACGTTGCAAACCAGTGGCTGATATGCCTTATGGAACCCATAGACCCGTCTTGTTTGTACCTCACTATGTTTTTTCTCTTCTAAATTTGGGATAGCCCACATTAAAAAATACAAATGTTTTTTATTATGTTTTGAAACATTAGAATAGTGGATACCCTGGAGGTCAGCCAAACCCAGTCAGCTGGAGCTGGGAAGCCCCTGACCTCATGGAGCAAGCATTGGTGCCCCTGGTTGGCTGGCAGACCCACCCTATCCCCATCCCTCCCCCACTCTCCTTCCCATGCCACCTCGCCATGGCAATGGCCTTCCTCATCCCTGCAGGCCCTTGCTTGCAGCATGTGTTATGGTTGTCAGGTATAATTCATGGTGCCCAGTTAAGGTTGAATTTCACATAAATACATCATTTTTAGGATAACTATGTCCTAAACATTACATGAAAATTGCAAAAAAAATATTTGCCATTTATCTGATGTTCAAACTTACCTGGTTGCCTTACGTGTTTGTTTTTTAACTAAAGATGGGATCTCTATCTGGACAGATCTCACTCTGTTCTCTGACTTCAAATACTATTTATATGCCAGTAACTCCTAAGTGCTTGGCTGCAGTTCCAATCATGCTCCCATATAAACCACATAAACCTCTCACAAGGGGGCACCTGGGTGGCTCAGTGGTGGAGCATCTGCCTTTGGCTCAGGTTGTGACCCCGGGGTCCTGGGATCAAGTCCCAAACCAGGCACCCTGCAGGGAACTTGCTTCTCCCTCTGCCTATGTTTCTGCCTCTCTCTGTGTGTCTCTCATGAATAAATAAATAAAATCTTAAAAAAAAAAAAACCTCTCACAAAATCCTATTTTCCATTTAACCAGAGGGCCCCATTTTCAGATTTCAATAGCATTTACGTCATGCTTTGGCATTTCTGAAGCCATTCTGGCTCTCCATCTGGGCCAACCCAAGACCAAATTTATTTCTCTGGCACCTTCTGTCCACCTACACCCCCTCTCCATACTACCTTGACGTTTCGCTTGACGTCTCGCTTGACGTCAATCTCTCTGATGACAACTTCAGCTCCTCTCTTTCTCTCCTGCAACATTTAGCCCAGGACTGCTGATTTTCCCCGAGCCTGTTTCTCACCTCAGCACACCCTCTCCATTTCTATTTTTCCTGTTATTGTCTTACGTTAGACTTCTATGATCTCTCACCTGCAATCATGCGATGGCACCCTGACTGCCCTCCCTCCCACCAGCTTTCCTGAGCACAATTCACCGTGCAAAACGACACAAGCATCACGCTTCTGAAAACAAACTCAATTACCTCACTTTCTTGCCTAAAGCCTCCTGTTGGAAGGTTTGAAACCAGAAGTAGTACAAATTCTCTAGCGTGACACACAGGGCTCCTTCCAGTTAGACTCCAACAGCTGGCACTGCCTCCTCTCCAGACACTTCTGCCCACACCCTACTCTCCACTCATGAGACAGTGTGATAGATGAGAGCAGAATGACTGTATAAGGTTCCCACTATCTTTTCAAGGTTGGCAGAGTTAGTAAGTGCTTTTGAACTCACATGTGGCTTTACTCATAGTTATGAAATATGGCAAGTTTAAAGTTCATAAGTAAGGATCAGAATGTGTAACTTTAAGAATTCCACCATACATACAACCAAAAAAAAAACCTACCTTGAAAGTATTTTGATATAACTTGACAAAAAATTGTATAGATTCATATTTTTATGCTATGAAAATTTTACTGAAGGTGTCAAAGACTTAAATAAGTGAAAAAACACACCATATCGAGGATAGGGAGGAAAGAAAGTGTTGCATGATGCTTAGGGGTTTGAATAAGCTGCCTGGGGTTCAAATCCCAGCTCTTCTACTTATAAGCTATATGAACTGGACAGGTCACTGTCTCTCCTCAGTGGTTGAGTGTCTGTCTTTGGCTCAGGTCCTGATCCTGGGGTTCTGGGATCAAGTCCCACATCGAGTTCCCTGTGGGGAGCCTGCTACTCCCTCTACTTATATCTCTGCCTCTCTCTCTGTGTCTCTCATGAATAAATAAATAAAATCTTTGTTAAAAATGGGCCTGATCATAACAGTACTTATTTCATAGGGCATTGTGAGCACTAAATGAGTCAAAGCATTTGATACACTTAAAACAGTCTCTAGCTTCAAAGGAAGCTCTTAACAAATGTTGTCCTATTGTTGGAAATGCAGCAAATCTTCCTACATGTAATGCATCTGTAAACGTAACACAACTGATGGTCTTCCACTAAAGATAAAAGAAGGTGGAGTGGGGACAAGTTGCAGGAAAAAGTGCAAGTCAATGTCCAACAACCAGGATCTGCAGAGAGTCTGCCGGTGGACCGATGGACTCCTCTGTTTCAGGCTCACATATGCCCTGCTTTTCTCTCTCAAACTCCCACAGAAGCTTCTAGCATTTTCAGTAAGAATTCTGCTATACTTCCACATCTCCCTCTGCCCTATGTCTTGATTTAATCCATGATAGGAGGGATCAGAATCCTAACATCTGCCGCCAACCCATCCAGTGTCCTCTAATCCTGGGGAGAATCTGAACAGAAATGGAGGCAGAGAGCAGTCTTTAAACACCCGTATTGCTCTTTGATAATGCCACCAAATTTCATATGTTGGCAAAATTGTGTGGAGAAATAAATACGCTAACAAACAGTAACAGGGACTTGCCGTAGTTTGGGAGTACTACCAGAACCTTGTTCATTAGCAGATATTATCTTTTCAAATAAGATCTTAATTCTGTGATTCCTGGGTGGGGGAGTGTGAAGGAAAATATATATTTGCCTTCGAAAGATGCACTGTAGGGGCACCTGGCTGCCTCAGTCGTTAGAGCATGCAACTCTTGATTTAAGGGTCATGAGTTTGACCCCTACATTGCATGTAGAGATTACTAAAAATAAATAAACTTTTTAAAAAAAAATGCATTGAATAAATCAATCAAAAGGCCAGCAGGCTGGCAGCTCCCAAATATGGGAAACTAATTGAGGAACTTCTCTCTTTCTCATCTCATCCCTCCTGCTTGTGCTGGCAGCGTCTCTGACTCTGGAACCAGAGTTCCTTGAGGATGGATGAGGGAGAAAGACTCAGAACTGGGGGGTTCTTTTAGATAAGAGGTAGGATTTCCTGTCATAGAGATTTAATAGGATGTGGGTGAGGCTTGGGAGCAAATTTCAGTGCAGGATCAAATCAGAGAACACTCCTTGTACATGTTAGAATTTCTTAGGTATCTTACCTCATTAGATGAAATTCAAATTATCTTTTATGATGGTCCCTCTAGCATTGTAATTCCCTTCAGAAATTGTCCTAACGCTTTGGTAGAAGAATTCCAATGATCTTTCCCCATTTTAGCAAGTTAGCCACACGGAGGTTAAAAGAACAGAAGAAGAAGGAGAAGGGGCTTCTCCCCCTTCTGTCCCTCCCGTGTTTTAGCAGGCGAGCTGACTCGGTGCACGGTGGCCCAGAGCTCCAGGTGTGACTCAGTGGTCACCTGAGTAGTGCTTGATGGAACCAGCAGCTAAGTCTTCCTTGGGGACCAGCAAGAGGATAAAAAGTCAACACTGAGCATTGACGAATTACACGTGGTATACCGTGTCTATACTGGGTGAAAACTCAACAAATACCTGATGGCCGAGTTTCTGAACACAGAAGAGTCTGAAGTCAGAAGCAGGACTCCAGGAGGAAGTCAGGTTCTTCTGCATCCTCTGGAGACACTCCGCAGGTGCCAGCGGCCGGCTGCTGCCACAGGAAAGCACAGCAACATCGTACTTTCCCTCCTTTCTCTGAGGCCATGTCCCTCCTTCAGTTGTCACTGATGCAAGTGTTAATTTGGTCATGTCCTTCTGCTGTTTAAAATAACACTTTAGTGCATTTCTACTGTCATTTAGAATAAAATCTGAGGGATCCCTGGGTGGTGCAGCAGTTTGGCGCCTGCCTTTGGCCCAGGGCGCGATCCTGGAGACCCGGGATCGAGTCCCACGTCGGGCTCCCGGTGCATGGAGCCTGCTTCTCCCTCTGCCTGTGTCTCTGCCTCTCTCTCTCTGTATGACTATCGTAAATTAAAAAAAAAAAAAAAAATCAGGCTCCCAAAAAGCCTTAAAAAAAAAAAAGAATAAAATCTGAAACGTTCTGTGTCACTTGCAAGCCCCTCGTTATCTGGACTCTCCTGGACTCTGCGGCTCTTTCTACTCTTCTCCTCTCTCACCAAAATACAGTCACATGGGCCTTTCAGTTCATCAAATGTGACAAGTTCCTGTCCACCTCAAGGCTTTGGCCTGAGATGCAGCCATTGGCCAGAATGTTCTTTGCCCTACCGCTGCCCTACTTTCATATGACCAGCTCCCAAAATCCTTCTGTCTTCAAATAAATATCACTTCCTCAGAGGTTTTCACTGGTTGCTCCATCAAAATGAGATAATCCCAGTTAGTATTCTCTGTCATCATACTCAGAGGTTT